AACATGTCATTTTCTGGTTTTTCTTTTTAGGTGTTTGGCCAGTCTCTTGTTACCCTTAACTGGTGTTGCCACCTCAGGGAACTGTGCTGTTAAATTCCCTCCATATCTCCAATCTACACACACACACACACACACACACACACACACACGCACGCACGCACTTCACCTCCCCACTATCATTTCCTCAAGGTTTTATGACAATTTTTCATTAAATCTATATTCATTTTCACATCAGAATATCTCAGTAAGGGCAATATTGGCAATTTGGTGGGACACTGTAAAGGACATTTAAGGGATGCCTGGGTCACTCAGCAGTTGAGCGTCTGCCTTTGGCTCAGGGCGTGGTCCTGGGCTCCTGGGATGGAGTCCCCCATTGGGGTCCTCACAGGGAGCCTGCCTCTCCCTCTGCCTGTGTCTCTGCCTCTCTCTGTGTGTCTCTCATGAATAAATAAAATCTTTTTTAAAAAATAAAGGATATTTAACATCCCTGGTCTCTGCCCACAAAATTCCAGTAGTGGCCACACAAAATTGGGCACCAAAAACATATGCACATATTTCTAAGCACCCTCTTAAGCTTAGGGGTCACTTAATCACTTTGATTAAGTATCATTTCACAGTGCTGTGACTTTGGTTAAGTATCACTTCACAGTATTATAACTGTATGATTATGTTTACACTGAGACACATGTACAATTATTGCCTTTTCTTTTTTCTTTTTTCCTAGAGTTACTAATTGCTTCCTTCATTTGCTTAGCTCCCGAGTACCTATTACTAACCATTTGCTAACTTACACAAGTGTATATGAAGTTTCTCTCAAAGAAAGCAGGCAATAAAGCTTCTTCCTACTCTTTTCAGGAATCATTCCTTCTATCTTCTTGCTCCAACCCAAACTGGTTATCTAGGAATGCTGCAGGGAGTCATTCCGGGGCTTCCCTTCATCCTGGTAGTTTCACTTATCATAAATCTTGCAAATTGGCAAATCTAAATTCTCTCCAATGCCCGAAGAAGTGGGGAATCAGGAAGAAGGTCAGCACAATTTAAAGAATAAAGAAGTTGCATTTTCTCTGATTGTCTGAGGGCAGAGCAAACATACATGTGATGTTGCCTCATACATAAATAGAATGAGTGCATTTTAAGGTGCTTCTATATTTATCATACAATTTGATTTTTATTTTAACCTTCACTCACATTTCACATTTGAGGAAATTGAGGTGTGCTACCTGGGACCCACTTTACTTCTGAAGTAATAGATCATAATAACAAAAGTATTAAGTATTCACTATTTTGTGAATATCCAATTGTCCTCTCTTTCTGTTTAGTTTATAGAACTCCAAGATTATATAGATAGCAACATGTTTTGGGCAGGTGGGCCTCTTCCTCTGTCTCACAGATTAAATCATGTTTGGTCTAATCCAGGCATGTTAATTCTATTTTCCTGTGCTCATGAGAGTTCTAGAAAAGTGTGTGAGCCAAGACTTTGCCCCATGATAAATGACAAGGAAGTTAACTTCCTCATGGCTTTTCAGTGTGGTAGTGTGAACAAGTGATACTTGCACTAGTGGCAGCCTTTTTGTGACCATGAGCCAATAAACCTAAAATGAAATATGTCAAAGCCAAAAGACAGAGTCTGGGTCTTTGACAACATCTCTAAGTACTGTGCCTACTCTGGAGCCATCTGGAAGCCACCTGGATTCTCTTCTGACAGCTCAGGCAAGATGGAGCAGCAGTGGGAGATAGTGTCAGCCGTCAGCCATCTGGAAGTCAACAGAAGGTCATTTGTTTCACAAAACGTACCCTTCCACTTTCACCAATTAAAGACCCACTTGGGTACCTGGACACTACTACTTTATCCAAATGCTCCCATCACTGCAATAGTTTTCAAGGAGTGTAGATGCTACAGGTGGTCACATGGCAGGTGGCTCCTCCTGCCCCCTTTTTAGCCCAACCCCTCATCTTATGCATGAGAAACTGTGGCTTAGAAAGATTAACTTACCCAAGTTCAACCTCAGAGTTAGGAATGAAACCTGGATTCTCTGCTGCTGTGACCTGGGCTCTGTTCACTGCACCCCAGTTACTTTTGAAGACTAAACCTCGTGACTCCCTCAAACTCCACTTTTGTTTTGTTTTTTTTTTTTAAGATTTTATTTATTTATTCATGATAGACATAGAGAGAGAGAGAGAGAGGCAGAGACACAACCAGAGGGAGAAGCAGGCTCCATGCCGGGAGCCCGATGTGGGACTCCATCCCGGGACTCCAGGATCGCGCCCTGGGCCAAAGGCAGGTGCTAAACCACTGAGCCACCCAGTGATCCCTCCACTTTTGTTTTCTCACCAACAATTGACTTTTCCATTACTGCCACTCTCAAGGATGCCATGAGCCCAGTTCAAATCGCAGTGTGAGTTCCAGACTGGGGGTTAATGGAGTCAGGATAACTCAATACATTTCACGTAAACTTGGTACATTTCATGTAAACTTGGTGAAGAGAGGGTGACTGTGGAGTGAAGAGTACTGTGCCGGGTGGGGGCCAGGTGGGGAGAGGATAGAGAGGAGGGAGGCTCTGCCGGTGGGTGTCTGGATGTGGACACCAGTCACGTGGAACTCAGCAGGCTGCAACACAGGCAGGGCCAGGACACAGCCTTGCACTGGGGGCACCCTTCCTGCACAGCGATTTGGAGAATGTTTCCTGAAGGAAGTTGGGCTCTGAAACAGGGAAATGGGGATTCCAGGCACAGAAAATGCTGGATCTGAGCCCTGGGCCTGAAGGGTGCACAGTGTGCGGGAATCACTCACAGCTTCTGTCCTGCTGCCTCCGCTTCCTTTGCCAACTCTCTAGCTACTGCTGCCAGATAATGCTCTGATCCATCATCACTCAGCTCAGGGACCTCCCTGGGCTGGTGCCCCACACCTCCCAGAGAACAACCCAACACTCCTTCCTCGCAGTTGAAACCTTCCCTGCTCAGGCTGTCTTCCTTCTCTACTCTCCTGAGCATGGCTATCCCAGAGCAAGCCCCCCACCCCCACCTCTGCCCAACACAGCTCTCTACCAGGATGCCTCCCCACTGCCAAGTCTTGCCCACTCTGCAAAAGCCACCAGGGCAAAAAGCCTCCCTTGACTCCTTCACCCTCCCCCATCCCAAGGTAATATTCTTGGATAAATCCCTTGATCTCTCCAAGGTTCCAGTTTACCATCTATGTGGTAACAGTAGTTTGTGTCATGTGCTATGGAAATGTGGGTGGTAGAGAAGGTGGTATTGGATCTCAGAGAGCCAGGGCACGGCATTTGTGCATTATGTAATATTTTCAAGTTATTTTCATTCTACAAATAACAAAACCACCTGGAAAATAGAGGGGAAAAAATCCCCTACAAAAACCTGGCCCATCCAGGACATCTGCTGTGAATACTTTTGGAAAATGTGTTGCCTTTGTTATGCAGAGGCAGATATTACTGGTCATGACTGTTGGAGGCTGAGGGATTTTGTTACTACAGCTACACTGAGATATAATTCGTATACCATACAATCCACCCACTTGAAGTGTACAGTTCAATGGTTTTTTTTTAAAAGTATATTCACAGAGCTGTGCAACCATCACCACTTTTAGAATACTTACATCACTTCCCAAAGAAATCCTCCTCCCTTTGGCAGTCACAGGTGATGGACGTGACTTGCTTAACATTATTTTACAAGCATCTTTTCCGTTGTCTGACGATCTTTTTTGAGTCTGGTAACTGTGAGCAAAGGATTTGGGATCAGGGAATGGCATGGCCAGGTGTGTTCTAGAATGATGGTGTTGTTGGGAGACTATAGAAACTTGGTTGAGGACCCAGGGCAGAGGTGAGAAAGGGATGATGGGAGCAGCCTGTGAGGAGGCAACCCGCAGGAGACGGGGCTTTGGGGAGGAGAGTAGCAAAGCTCTGGAAGCCGAATTGGCAGCACCAGGGATCTGGATGTCGAGAAGGATGGAGGAGGGTGTCAAGGCACTTACTGGAGTGGGTGACAGTGGGCATAAGGTCAGTAACTGAGTCCCAGAAGGAGGAGTGGGCCCAGGTTTGGGGCAGAGATGCAGAGGAGCTTGATTTTGGACTTGTTGGACTTGGGGGCCCTCCAGCTCTACTGACAGAGTTCAGTATTTTGCGGTGGGGTGCTCAGGCCTGGCACTCGGGGCACTGAGGGAGGCCGGCGTAGGCTTGGGAGCTAACGGTGTATGGACCGCAGGTGACACCTTGGGAACCCGAGAGCAGCCAGGGTGAGGGTGAAGGACGACGGAGAGGGGGCCTGGGGAACACTGGCATTTGGGCGGGGCCGGGTAGACGAGGAGACGGAGGACTTGGAGCCCGTCTTAAGGTGGAGGCAGAGCTGGAGCCGCCCGCGCAGTGGCCAGAGGACAGAGGAGCAGGTGAGACTGGGGAGACCTGCAAGCGGGGTGCAGGCGGGGAGGGGGCGCAGAGCCGCACGTTCCGGAGCGATCCTTGCCGTCTGGGTGTCGCGACCCGAAGAGACAGGCCAGGCCCTTTGTCCCCCAGCCCCCACCTTCCGCGGCATCCTGACCGGTGGGTGCCCAGGGATGGTGGGGGGAGGAGCCCCCCAGGCTTCAGGTCCTCCGCTCGCCGCAGCCGGCGGGGGCGCTGGCGGGGCGCCCGGGGCAGAGTCCCGTCCCGCTGCCCGGGGCGCTCGGGGCTCTGCGCGCGCCGCGCCGGCGGGCGGACCGTGCGGCCGCCCGGGACACACCCGCACAGCTGGAGCCTCGGGGAAAGTTGGGGAACCGCACCGGGCCACAGAGCGCCACCACACGGCGCGCGGGGGCCGCAGCCCGAGCCCCGCCGCGCGCCGCCGAGCCCCGCGTGGCCCCGCGCGGGCGTAGACGGGTCCGCGGCTGGGGAGGCGGGGCGGCGCTCCGCCGGGGGTCCGAGACGGGCGGGCGCGCCGGCCAATGGGCGGCGCCGCCTCCCCGCGGTCCCGCCCCCGGAATCCCGGCCCCGAGCGCCCGAGCCCCGCGGGTCAGACGCGACTGGCGGACGCGCGGTGCGGGCGCCCTGGCCGTGCCCGGCGGGGCCCACGCGGCTGCCCCGCGCCCAGCGCGGCCCGGGTAGGCGAGGCCGGGGCCGGTCGGCCCGGCCATGCCGCTGGAGGCGCAGGACGCGCTGTACGTGGCGCTGGAGCTGGCCATCGCCGCGCTGTCGGTGGCGGGCAACGTGCTGGTGTGCGCCGCGGTGGGCACGTCGAGCGCGCTGCAGACGCCCACCAACTACTTCCTGGTGTCCCTGGCGGCGGCCGACGTGGCCGTGGGGCTGTTCGCCATCCCCTTTGCCATCACCATCAGCCTGGGCTTCTGCACCGACTTCCACAGCTGCCTCTTCCTCGCCTGCTTCGTGCTGGTGCTCACGCAGAGTTCCATCTTCAGCCTCCTGGCTGTGGCCGTCGACAGGTACCTGGCCATCCGCGTCCCGCTCAGGTGAGGCGCGCGGCGGCCCCGACCCCGGGGCTCCGTCGAAGCCCCCGCCGAGGAGCGCGCGCTCCAGGCGCGGGTTTGCTGGCCCCGGGCGCGGGGCGCTCCGAGCTCGGGTGCCCAGCCGGGAGGACGCCGGCCGCCCATCCGGAGACACGTGCGCCCGGGCTGCCCAGACCCTCTCGGTGCCGGAGCCGGAGCCGGAGCCGGAGCCTGGAGGCCTCTGCTCCCCGGATGCGCACGTGTTTTTAAGGAGGGGTCTGCGTGGGCACAACTCTCGGAGTTCTGGGGAGCGCGGTCCCTGGTCGCCCCCGGAAACTCCGGGGAAAGCGCCGCCCCCAGCGTGCAGGTGGGGGCCCCGGCGGGGGAGGTTTGGCGATGCTGTCTCTGCCTCGGTGGCGAAAACTGTTTCCAACCTCTCGGTGGTTTCCCGCGGCCGAGCCCGGGTCCAGAGCGGCGGCTGGGTGCGGCCCTGGGAGTGCTGGGGGGACCGGGAGGTCCAGGGCAGCTTTGGACGCTGGGACTTGCAGTGTCAGGATGGACACTACTGAAGACCCAACTTCGGAAGGTACCTGCCACAAAATGCGGGCCAGGCCGACCCGGGGGTAGGATGGGGTGGGAGGGGCGTCCCGTAAACTCTAGGGAACGTTAGGAACACCCGTGCCTGCATGCTCAACGGTGACCCTATCACCTCTCTGTACTTTTTAAAAGAGTCAAAGTGCTGCGCCCGCCCGTTGGCCAACACGAGCAGCCTCAGAGGCGCGCAGGTCCGTGGCATGTGGTCTTGTTTACCTTGCACTGCCACGTCCCAGCAGGGACTTCAGAAAACGAGGACTTCAGGGTGGTCTCTTCCGCCCCAGGAGGAAAATGGAGCATTCAGGGGATGGAGCCAGCCGCCAGCAGTGGGAGTACACCCCGGTTGTAGCTGATGATGGATTTCAAAGTTGAGCACCTGAGAGCAGGAGTATCAGGGAGCCCTAGGGTTTATTGGATATTTTTACTGCCTTCCGTGCCTTCCTGGCTCTTTTGGCATTTCTGAGTTGGGTTTGGATCTCTTTGGATCTCTTTGGGTTTGGAGCTGGGAAGGGACACCGAGTCACAGAGTAGGAGGGAAGGGAAGGACTCTATTGAGTGCCAACTATGTCCAAGTCCGAGGCAGTTTATTTTATACTTTTATCCTTTCGTTCTTGCTGTAGTTCAGAGGGCAGATTCTAGTATCTGCGTTTTGTAGATAAAGGGGGGCGGGTGTTGGCTCTGGGAGATTAGAGTCTTGCTCAGAATGATGCATCTGGAATGAGTGTCATAGCCAGGACTTGGACTCAGAGTTGGCACCGTATTCACGCTGTGCCGTTGGCCTGTCTTACAGGCCTGCGTGTGGTGTCAGTGTCCTGGATGCAGGTAGAAAGCATACTGCTGTTTCTGGAAGCAGAAGCTGTCTGCAGTAAATTGGTGGTTGTAAAGGAAATGTGTTTGAGGGAATTGACAGAATGCTTCTAGAAGCTTTTTTAGCAGGCAGGCACGTTGAACCTGGTAGTTGTGGGTTGTGTCCTGGATCCCAGTGGGAACAGGAACCTCCTGCTTGGCCGGGTCTTTCCACCTGCTGCTGCCTTTGGCATCTGAGCAGGAGGCCTCATGCATCCCATTAGGTGACAAAGCCTAGAGATTTCCAAGGCTTGGGGCAGCATGGTATAGTCTCTTAGGGGTCCCCTAAGACCCTTCCTGCTTCTTGGTCTTCATGTTGGTTACTTTTGGACTGTTTGCATCCAGCAGGCAGTCTCAAACTCCCAGCCTGAGGTACCCATTCAACAGAAGCCTCTTGGCCTTGCTCCAAGCAGAGGTCCATCCAGCTCACTGGGAGTTAACGGAAGAATTCCTTGTGCCCCAGCCAGCAGGAAGTTCCATAAAAGTTTAAATCTGTTAGTTCTTGTCCTGGTTTGTGTTGGGCGGGGTCTTAAAAAAAGGGGGTGTGGGTGTGTTCAGGGGAAAGAAATGTGAATCACACGCCTCTAAGTTCTTTGTATTTGCCAAGGGCAGGAGAGGGAGATACAGGAGAAGGATGGGAAGAATGGTCAGTTGAGAGGCCCTGGGGAGCTCATCCCCTTCCTGCTCTCCTGGTCTTCCCAAGAGAGTTCAGAGGTCTGGAAGAAGCGGGTGCCAGCAGCCCGAGCTCCCCACCCCCGGAAGGCTCAGGCATCATGCTCGACCCTGTGGCACCAACACCCAGCCTTGTGGGTTGGAGAGGGTAAAGGTGTTCAGGGCTCCTGAGGCCTCCTGGGGGAGGATCATTCAGCTGTCAGCACATCCTGCTTCTGGGGAGCATGGCCCCCTGTGAGCCGGCTAAGATGCAGATTACAGGGCCCTACTGGGCCCCCCTGAGTCAAAATCTCTGGGGTGGGGTGTGTGTGTGTGGGGGGGGGGGTTCTAATATCCGTACCTTTAACTGGGGAATTGGCCAGCCCTCCGACTTACCTGGGTTCTGCCCAGTTCACAGGTGTGAGGGGCTCCGACAGCATCAATGCCTCACAGCTCTGAGTGCGAGGGGCCAGCTGTAAGCACAGCTCAAGTCTGCAGATCCCAGAGTCCCCACCTGCCACCCGTTTGCCAAGGTGTCCAGTGACATCAGAGAGCTGACAGTGCAGAGGGAAAGGGAAGCCCCAAAGTGAGCTGGGCACAAAAATGAAAGCTTTGACTGGACTTGAAAAGAGGAGCGTCTGCTCATACCAGGCCCTGTCCTAGGCCTTCAGAGTGAGGGGTGTCCACAAACTGAAGGAAGTCCACGCAGTTCTGAGGTTGGCCCCAGCAGAGGGTCCATGTGCACTGATGCAGCCTGGGAGTGCAGGCTCCCCTGCTGCTGGAGGTGGGAGTGTGCCTGGTGGGGAAATTTGGAGGGGTGAGGGTGAAGTGGGGGGGTCTGCCCTCAGCCCCCCCCCACTTCACCCTCAGGCCATTTCTGGCAGGAGCACTTCCTCCTCCCTAATCTAATCCTGTTCCCCTTCAAGCCACAACCCCCACTGGAGCCTGGGGGTGGGGGGTGACTGTGTGATTCACCCCTGTCTGGAGGCCCTCCTTACTCTGCTCCTGGACTCAGTTTCCAGTGGTGTTGAGTCTTAAGTAGGTCAAAGGCCAGCTGTTTTCCCAATGGAGCTGAAGGAGGGTGTTTTCCTGGAAGTGTTTGGTTGGCTGGATTGGCCCAGGGAATGGGAGGGAGTTAGTCTGTCTGTCCTGACCATGGACCCTGACCCTGTCTCCCTGCCTGTTCCCTGTGCTACAGGGAGGCTTTTTCTCGGTTGCAAACGGGGCCAGTCCGGGAGGTAGGTATTGATATCTGAGCAAGACTGTCCCTTGGGTTAAAATGTGGCCTCCGCTTAGCCTCCCTTAGCTGACTCAACTGTAGGTAGGAGGGTAGCAGGGGATTCTGAGTGTTTTTATAAGAACTTCTTTTTCTTTTTTTAAATTGAGCTACGAATCCCATATGAGAAAATTCTTCTCTAGTGTTGTTTTGCAGTAAAGTCAGGAAGGAGTTTCAGCTCTGGGTTGGACCCCTCCAGGTACTCCTCCGTGAGCGCTCCCTTCTTCCGCATCAGTGTTCTCTCTCTCTTCCAGACCATTCCCACTGCCGTGGGTTGAATGGTGCATCCCACCACCCCTGCCAGAAAGATGTTCATGTTCTAATCCCCAGAACCTGTGAATGTTACCTTATATGGATCTTGGGAGGAAGACTTTGTCCTGGATTACCTTGAGAGGAAGAAATTGTCCTAGGGTCTTGTGGCCCCTAAATGCCATCACATCCTTACAAAAAAGACATGTGGAGAGGGAGGAGGCAGGGCCAAGGGATGCTGGGGACAGCCACCAGAATCTGGGAGAAGCTTGGGACAGCTTGTGTCCAGAGCCTCTGGCAGGGAGCGGAGCCCTGCCACCTTGCTTGTAGGCTTCTGGCCTCCAGAACCATGAGGGAGTAAGTATTTTCAAGCCAGCAAGCTTTATTGCAGTGGCCCCAGGAAGCCACCAGTAATGTACGAATGCACTTCAATCAATTCTCCCTCGTGGCACACCTGTGGCACACCTCGCCACTCCCTGGTCGGTCCTCCGTGGCCTCCACAGTGACAAGTCTAATTCTCTCACTTCTGTGGCCACTGAGTTTACCTCCTGTTGGTCGAATCTGACGGTCACTTCTTGGACCTCATCACACAGGTCCTCTCCACAGGTCCGGCCCAGCTCCTGGGGTCCCCACAGGGCCCCCGCCTCATCCGTTCCTGTCCCCCCGTAGCCATTGTCCAGAATGCTGCCAGACAGGATTTGAGCCTGAAGTCAGAGCGCCTCATTCCCCTGCTGAAAGCCACTCCGCTGTGGGGTTTAGATGTAAAATCTGAACATGGCCCCCGGGCGTTAGGGCCCTCTGTGATGTGATTGGGATCCTGGCCACCCGCCTGGCCACCCGCCTTGGGCCCTCCTGCCCTCCTGCTGCAGCCCCAGGGGCCCAGACTTCCCCCCTCCCCACCCCGCCAGGAGCATCTGGGAGCCACAGGGTGGGGAGGACATGGAAGTGGCAGCTGTGAGGACTCAGGGTTGTAGACAAGAGCACCCATGGGGTGGGGGAAGGAGGGTCCACCCAGTCACCTAGGTCTGCCCTGGGACCATGGCTCGGAGCTGCCCCCCAGCAAGCAGTGGGAGCCCCAAGGACCAGGAGCGCTGATGTGGATCAGGCCACAGCCTGCACTTCTGTGCGTGCCTGGCGGGGTGGCCAGCCTGCCTGAGAGCGGCCCTGGCAGGGACGTAGCCCTGACTTGGCATCTCAGCAGCGTTTCCACAGAATTTCGCAAAGCGCGGGTGGTTTGCCTTTGACCTTTGGGAGAATGAGTGTGTGTAAAGGAACAAAAGTTGGCATAATTTTCACATGACAGGTGATCTGTGTCCTTTCTCTGTGACTTCATGCATGGGCCCTCCCTGCCTGGCACCTGCTGGCTGGACCAGCTACCCTGGGGGTCCTGGTCTCCCTCGTCTGCTCT